AGCAAAATTGTCATTCATAATAGTTTGCTGACTATTGTGATGCTGTGATTGGCCTACAGCTATTATATGGCACAAGGCAATTCACAGCAGCTTTGTACCATGTGATAGCTAATAGCAAGCAAGCTGTCATGAATGAAAGCCATTCATGAGAGTTAAAAGCATTGCTTATAACAGTGATTATCACTGTTATAAGCAATCACTGTGTTAGAAAAAATTCCTTAGTCACCTCATCCCCCCCCCCCCCACACACACACACCACAGAGTATTGCAGTGTCACTATTTCTTCATTTTCAAAAAAATTATGACAAAAAATTTACAGCTTCAAAAAAAACAAAAAAAAACAAAACAAAAGAAAACTCACCATGCCTCTTACAAAATACCTAGGACTGTCTACTTTCCAAAAAGGGGTCATTTGGGGGGTATATGTACTGTTGTTAGGGTCTCAAGGATTGATCAATTTTTAAATATACATTACTATAGTTTTTGTAGACTCTATAACTCGTGCACACTATAAGAAAATCGTCCGAAAATTTTCGTACGAGGACCGATCGTCCGATAATCGGATTGTCAGTACACAGCTTTCGAGAGCCAATCACGACAATTCGTACGACAATATCCGAAGGGACAAACGCAAAAATTTTTCTCGCATGACACCAGATTGCACGATGTTCGTTTAATCAGTACAGTAGTCATCTGAAAATACAATACAAATACAACGCAATACATGACATCACTTTCGAATTTCTTTTCTTTCATAGGAGAATTTTTGTATCTTTAGTAACCTTTTCCCTTTCGATGTGAGACTAGCAGACGAAAAAAAAACGGCCGATCGTTCGTCCGATATTCTCATCGTGTGTACGGGGCATTAGTTTCCTACAGACTAAATAACGCACACTGATTTGGGTTATTTTTGCCAAAGAAAATGTAGTGGACTATATTTTGGCCTAAATTTATGATAAGAGATCATTTTTTTTTTTAAATGTTATCAGAGAAACTAAGAAAAATGTGGCAGCCAACACAAGTGAAGGTATGGACACCACTCAACCGACCCCAGGAGTCCAATGGTAAGGAATGACCTCAGCCGGCATACTGGCCATGCCCTATGATGCATTTTTCCTCACCCACCGGGGCTTCGTCTGTGACCAAACCCCGGTGGATGGGGCAACATGTGCCAGTGGGTGTGGCCAGTACGGTGGCTGAGGTTATTCCTTACCATTGGACTCCTGGGGTCAGTTGAGTGGTGTCCATCCCTTCACTTGTGTTGACTGGCACTGGAGTAGCTCAGACTCATTCTCCCCTCTTTTGCTATGGTGCTTCCCCAACACAACTTTGTGGGAATAGTTTGGGGATGGCCCCTTCCTGTTCCAACATGACTGCGCACCAGTGCACAAAGCAAGGTCCATAAAGACATGGAGGAACGAGTTTGGGGTGGAGGAACTTGACTGGCCTGCACAGAGTCCTGACCTCAACCCCATAGAACACCTTTTTTGGGATGAATTAGAGTGGAGACTGTGAGCCAGGCCTTCTCCCCCGACATCAGTGCCTGACCTGACAAATGTGCTTCTGGAAGAATGGTCAAACATTCCCATAGACAGCCTCCTAAACCTTGTGGATGGCCTTCCCAGAAGAGTTGAAGCTGTTATAGCTGCAAAGGGCGGGGCCAACTCAATATTGAACCCTATGGACTAAGACTGGAGGGCCATTAAAGTTCATGTGTGTGTAAAGGCAGTACTTTTGGCAATATAGTGTATATGAAATTTCCTGCCGGTTCCCGGTGATCGCCGAGTCTCTCCGACGGGGGGGGGGGGGTTTGGGGGGGAGACCTGTGTATAAACAACACAGATCTCTCCCCTGTCAGTTCCTGCACACTGCTTTGTATGGCTCTGCAGAGCCATACAAAGCAGTGTGCTTACAGTGTAAGACACACACAGCACACAGTGAAACAGCACACAGTTAGCCATTTGATCGCCCCAGATGTTAATCTCTTCCTACCCAGTGCCATTAGTACAGTGTCAGTGTTATTAGCACTGATCACTGTATTAGTGTCACTGGGGATGTCAGTGACACCAAGTCAGTTCCCCCCCCAGTGTCAGAATGTCCGCTGCAGTCCTGCAGTCCCGCTATAAGTCACTGATCACCGCCATTACTAGTAAAAGAATAAACAAATTCCAATATATATACCGCCATTTGTAAACACTATAACTTTCACGTAAACCAATTAATTTACACGTATTGGGATTTATTTTTTAGCAAAGACATGGAGCAGAATACATTTTGGCCAATTGATTTTTAAAAAATTTTTTACTAGACATGTTTAATAGCAAAAAGTAAAAAATATAGTTTTTTTTTTCTCAAAATTGTCGGTCTTTTTTTAATAAAAAAAAAAAACACACAGGCAATCAAATACCACCGAAAGAAAGCTCCATCCGTGGGAAAAAAAAGACGTAAATTTCATTAGGGTGAAGCATTGCATAACCGAGCAATTGTCAGTTAAAGTGACGCAGTGCTGTATTGCAACTTATGGCCTGGTCAGGAAGGGGGGTAAATCCTCTGGAGGGCAAGTTGTTAAAAAACCTCACTATACAAATCGCGTGTTACTGTTACTGTGGTGCCATGTTATTTGGTGCCCGCAAACACACTGCATTTGCAATCTGCGTTTGGGGTGCCATTGACATGGGCATTGCATTGCCATCCGCAGCAGTTTCCAGCACCATGTTCTGATGTGAACTGGCCTTCAGTGCAGTTCAGGTCAGGGACATGGCTGTGGTGTCAGGCATGCCTGGATGACAATGCTGGCTGAACAAAATTACAAATTATATGTAGTTCATCTTTGCTTTTAGCTCCTTGCCTGGAATCTGGGTTTAGGCTGCATGCACACTTGAGCTTGAGGGTCTTTTTTTACTGGCATTTTTGCATTTGCTTGGAGTGTTTCTTATTTTAAATATGTTTAGCCAAAAGCAGGGGCGGACTGACAACTCAAGGGGCCCCCGGGCAATAGGGGATCATGGGGCCCCTATGTCCTTGCCCAAACTCAGAAAAGCCTATGAAAAAAGGTACCAGGGGCATCTCATGGGGCCCCCTACTCACCCTGGGCCCACGGGCAGTGCCCAAGTTTCCAAATGGTCAGTCCGCCCCTGGCCAAAATCTAGTTACTAGGGAAAAAGCACATAGGCACATTTTCTGCACATTTTCAGGGCATTCCCTTTGAAGTCTATTGGAAGCCAAAAATGCCTTGAGCTTGTGCCTCAAATGAAGCTTGTGTTCTTTTATTTTGCTACAATCTTTGAGCTACAAAACGCTCAGGTGTGAATGGAGTCCTATGGTGGTATTGGGATGGGCGTTTAACACATTAAAGTCTTATTTTATGGCATTACAGAGATTTTTTGGGCATTCTCTTGTTTCTAGCTTCCTAATTGGACTAATGGGGACTTTCAATGAGAAGGCTGAAGAGCTGATGGACAAAATTACGGAGAAGGCAGATGGAAAAAGTCAAGTTGGAATGTATGAAATGCTCAACAAAGTCACTCTGGATGTCATTGGCAAGGTAATCCTCCACTTGATTTGCTTCTGCTGCAAATAGCTATAGCCTTTCTCCCTCCCTAGCCTGTGACTGGACAGTGAAACAAAAAGCAGCACACTGATGAGCTTGTCTCTAAGGGGCCTACATATAAAACATTTGTTGCATGAATGTCAGAGCCATTCCTCTAAGTTGAACGAAATGTCACTGAAATTTTTCTTAGAGATTAATGCCTGTATCACCAGCTCCATCTAGTGGCAAAAATGTGTTATATAGAGAGTAAAAAGCACCTTAGTGTAAATAAACAAGCTGCTACGCACAGAATTAGGTACCAATAACCTATGAAAGAGACAATGTATATGACAAGTGCCGCGCTCGTCGCTAATAGAGTGAATGGATGAAATACAGTATCATAAGTCAAATTGAATTCCAATAAATGTAAGGAGTAGTCCCATAAATATAAATAAATCAGGATAGTAAAACAGGATAATGAAAGGTGACTTCGTTGTCCGGGTAGTAGTGGAAATGAAATGCGCACTCACCGGACGCGCATATTAAATGCGCCTTGTATGTAACAATCCTGATCCTAGATGGTAGGAGGTATTCCTTCAGTTGGAACCCAGATGAACTATCCTTCTCACTCAGATATGCCTGTGTGGTCCTGGTGGGTGCTGTCACTCCCAAGGGATTGGGTGGTAAGTGGTGATCCGCCTTAGCAATGGACCTGTAGGCTAGAGTACTCCCCCAGGGGACAACAAGGATACTTCCATAGTGTAGTAGATTAAATTTTATTCATATAAAAAGGTGCATCACATAAAAAAGTGCAAAACAACCGTTGCAGACAGTTGTCTGTAAGAGGACTGACCAGCTGGTAATATGTAATGGCCGCCGGAGCTCCACGATGCTCCGGCGGCGTGACGTCACGGCGTGGTGAAAAATGTAACACAAAAAATGTGTTATAGTTTTCTGAAAAACCTCAATGAGGTATTTCCATAAACATCTAAGTATTTACATTCAAATGAGATGAACGTTTGTACCAGGCGCTCCTCTTTACACATCCAAGAATTTACTGACAAGCGCTTTTGTTGTCACCATCAAAGAGACCAGAACAGGTTCCACCTGTCAGTTTGTATATGTAGTAAAGCATGCTTGTTTACGCACTGTGGAACTTAAGGGGTTGATCCTCCACATTGTGTAAAAAGGATGTTTGATCCTGTCTTTTCTGATCCTCGTCTTGTTCAAATGTCCACCTGATAAGACAGACTGAACCCGTAGCCACTCTGCATATGCTCAGTTTGGTGTGTATTGCTAGAGAGGTTCTTTTTTTTTTTTTCTTGGGAGGGTGCATGTGATCAGCACTGGGCCAATCAGCGGTGTCCAGACAGAGGGCCAGGGGTCCTGCAGCCTCACAGGACAATCAGGGGAGAATGAAAATTCCATTCTACATGTTGTAACCAGTGTTCTGCTGGACACTGATAGAAGTCACAAGAGACTGCTCTAACTGCTGATGAGAAATGGGATTTAACAGTTTATATTTACTAAAATAATTGCCTTTCCATGTTCTGTGTACTGTGGGAGACCAGATATAGTGAATGCAGGGTCTGGGGAGACCAGATATAGTGAATGCAGGGTCTGGGGAGACCAAATATAGTGAATGCAGGGTCCTGGGAGACCAGATATAGTGAATGCAGGGTCCTGGGAGACCAGATATAGTGAATGCAGGGTCCTGGGAGACCAGATATAGTGAATGCAGGGTCTGGGGAGACCAGATATAGTGAATGCAGGGTCTGGGGAGACCAAATATAGTGAATGCAGGGTCCTGGGAGACCAGATATAGTGAATGCAGGGTCCTGGGAGACCAGATATAGTGAATGCAGGGTCCGGGGAGACCAGAGAGACCAGATATAGCAGATGCAGGGTCCGGAGAGACCAGATATAGCGAATGCAGGGTCCGGGGAGACCAGATATAGCGAATGCAGGGTCCGGGGAGACCAGATATAGTGAATGCGGGGTCCGGGTAGACCAGATATAGTGAATGCAGGGTCCGGGGAGACCAGATATAGTGAATGCAGGGTCCGGGGAGACCAAATATAGTGAATGCAGGGTCCGGGGAGACCAGATATAGTGAATGCAGGGTCCGGGGAGACCTGATATAGTGAATGCAGGGTCCGGGGAGACCAGATATAGTGAATGCAGGGTCCGGGGAGACCAGATATAGTGAATGCAGGGTCCTAGGAGACCAGATATAGTGAATGCAGGGTCCGGGGAGACCAGATATAGTGAATGCAGGGTCCGGGGAGACCAGATATAGTGAATGCAGGGTCCTGGTTACACTTTAATTCATTTAATTTGGCAGAATACGAATTTATTCTGACCATTGAAATTAATTAATGCTCAAGTGCTAATCATGCCTAGCATTAACTTGCATTTTAACATGTTTACACGCTTTAAGCTTTTTTTTTTCTGCCCAAACTCTGATGCTCCGGGACGCACTGGCAGTGTTTTCTTTCTACTTTTGAACTCCTCTAAAAGCCTCTGTGTGCATGAACACATAGGTTAACATGCAGGGGTGTTTAGAGACAGAAAGAAAAAGCCCTGGCAGCAGCATCAAAAACATCCAGTATGCATGAAATCTTAATGTCCATATCTAAGCTTTGCTGACTGTTATGGTGTCTGTTAATATATCAGCTTCTAGAACATTTCAGCATTTATTTTCTTAAGGTGGCTTTTGATATGGAGCTGAATACCCTTCATGATGACCAGACGCCATTTCCCCGCGCCATTTCAATGGCCATGAAAGGAATGGTGGAGACTCGGAATCCTTTTGCACGGGTTTGTATAATTTTATCTTGAAATTTACTTTTGATGAAGGAGAAAAATCTCAGTTTTATACACTGATGGCTATATAGGGCCAGTTCACAACGGATCGCCCGGAAAAGCTTGTGTGATTCCTGTACGTTCCCATGTGACAGCCCATTCATCTGAATGGGATGTAAAATGCACCGGGCAGTGCAAAAAGTACTTTTAAAAATGCACTGCACCAAACTTCATAGTATTACAGTACCATGCAAGTTGGTGCCTGCAAACGTACTGCATGTGTGATCTGCATTTGGAGTGCCGTTATCAATACACCCGCATGCTTATCGCAAGGGCAGCGCCATTCTTTGCCAGACATGCTTACAGAACACATCTTTCCCACACCACATTCTGATGTAAACCAGCCTTAAGGCTAGGTTCACACCTATGCAGATTGTGCTTGATCCATTTCTGCAGTGTGTTTTGCGTTTTTTGCACATGCGTTTTGCCATGTTTTTGATGCGTTTTGCATTTTTTTTTCTTGTTGCTAGGCAGATTTAAAACACATCAAAAATGCAGCAAAAACACACTGCATGCTTTTCTGCAGTGTTTCCATTGAAGTCTATAGAACCAAAAACGCAACTTTTTTGCGCTTAAAAAAGTCCCTGACCCTTTCCAAAAAACGCACCGGGTGAAAACGCGGAGATGTGAACGTGTCCCATAGGAAATCATGTTAAATGGACTGCTGTGCGTTTCTGCAAAACGCTTAGGTGTGAACCTGGGGTAAGGGAGCTTACTCAATGAATACTGACCCATGTGTTCCTTCTACCTGAGTGGGAGGGGTTACCTGCTCAATGGTACTGCAACACCCTGGAGTTTTCCTGCACTTTACCAAAACAGGTCTGAAGGAGGCCTTGAAGTATATCTTACTTAAAGGAAATCTATGGTCACAGTCAGGGGCGGACTGACAACCCATGGGGCCCCCGGGCAATAGGAGATCATGGGGCCCCTGTGTCCTCGCCAACACCCAAAAAAGCCTATGAAAAAGCCAATGAAAGGTAGCAGGGGCATCTCATGGGGCCCCCTACTGACCCTGAGCCCTTGGGCAGTGCCCGAATGCTCGAATGGTCACAGTCTAAGCTGGCCATAGAAAAGTAGAAAAATGAACAAAAGTTCAAACAAAAATGTTAAAGTTTTTGATCTATCATTCGTTGTATTTATTGCCCAATTATTGTATCGGAAATTTTCCAGTGAAATGTCAACATTTTTCTGATCGTTTAGATGCCTTTTATTGTAAACATCATTAAAAAAAAAAAAATATTGGAAAAATAGTTTTGGCAGCAAAAGGGTTAAGACAGTTTTTTTGTACATAGCCCCTTATGTATTATGTGCTTTTGCAGTACACTCCTGGAAAGCAGGCGTTCATCAAAGAGGTCAGAGAAAGTATCAGACTGCTGAGGGAAATTGGCAGAGAATGCATTGAGAGGAGAAAAAAGGCTATAGAAGACGGAGAGGACATTCCCAGGGACATCCTAACACAGATCCTCAAAGGAGCAGGTACATGTCCAGCAAATGAAAGGCAAAAAAAATCTCAAGCGATAAGATCTTGTGGATGGTGGGGTGGTAAAATCCTGCAGCTGAGCCACACTTTTACCACCCCCAACCGCTACCTCCTTTAGCTGCGGGGGTATTGGCCAGGAGTGCACACATGCGTCAGCGGCAGCAGGTATATTGCCCGCTGAATGCAACCCATTCAAGCAAACAGGACCGTTCTGCAAGCACCCCACAACCACCTGCAATTCACTTTCAAATCCCTGAAGAGCGATGTGAATGCAGAATATTATTCAGAGAGCAAAGCTAGTATGATCCAGGGGCGGACTGACCATTTGGAAACTCGGGCACTGCCTGAAGGCCCGGGGTCAGTAGGGGGCCCCATGAGATGCCCCTGGTACCTTTTTCATAGGCTTTTTTGAGTTTGGGCATGGACACAGGGGCCCCATGATCCCCTATTGCCCAGGGGCCCCATGAGTTGTCAGTCGGCCCCTGGTATGATCAAGCCACAAAGGCCATGTTATTTTCTGCCCATGCATGAATTAACACTCAGTACTTTTAGGAATCGTTCACATGAACTCCGAAGAGCGATCTGCTTCTGAATCACCATTTAGAGAGCAAAACTAGTTTAAACGAACCCTAACACAAACCATGCCACCATCTGTATCCATACAGCATAACAAACATGTCTGCAGTCCCTCTGGTCTGTCTCTAGTTTCAGCAGTCAGTGAGATTCTACTGGTGGCCAAGCACTATACAATCAGATTGTACAATCTCCATCTTTTTTAGATTCACCAAAACTATGTAATATAAAGACAAACCTAAACAATCCAGTCAGTTTGTATTTAACCAGACAGTCCCCTGCACTACATACTATTGATGGTAGATCTATAGGAGGTTTTACGATCGGATTGTATGGTGCATGGCCTGCTTTAGCAAGCAGACTGTCCAGTTTTATTGTTTCATTTCCGGGTGTCGTTTCTTAAAGCCCAAATAAACATTTCTTTTAAATCAGTGAAATACATTGCAAGTGCTTCATAACAAAACGTGTGCAAACTCTATAGTTGGTTTTCTTTAGAAAGCGGCCACAGCCTGAGTACAGAAAAAAAGCCTGTCCCCTGCCATCATGCTGCAGAGAAGTTTCCTTGCAGTCTGTCTGGAAGCAGTGGTCTCTCTGCAGTGGTCCAAATTAACCTTTTTAAAGTGAAATGAAACCTGGTGTGAGGCTTTAAAGAAATATCAATAAGGAGCAAAAAAGCTCATTGTTATGTTTTACATACACCGATCAGCCATATCATGATGACCATAGATAGCTAAAGTGAATATCATTGATTATCTCGTTACATAGGCATCTGAAAGTGGGTGGAATATATTAGACAGCAAGTGAACATGTTGTCCATGAAGTTGGTGGGTTGAAAACAGAAAACTTGTCATGAAAATTATGTTAGTGCAAATAACAAAAGTATCACAGACATTACTCAGTCAGGGCTGTCTTAATGCAATGGGCGCTGCCCAGGGGCCCCAGGTACATAGGGACCCCATGATAATCTTGCATTACATCATGCTTGTCAACTGTGCCGGATTTGCCGGGACAGTCACGTTTTATAGTAAGCTGTCCCAGGAAGGCCAGGGCAGTGTCCCAGAACCTGGACTGTACCCTTGATCCCAGTATTGTGCCCTCCTAACTCCCCCTATACTGTGCCCTTCTGCCTCCTTCCCCCCGTACTGTGCCCTTTGTGTTGATTAGTCTTTGATTTATTGCATATTTTCTTATTGTTTAAAATCAATTTTATCGAACGTACTACTAAATATATGTTTAATTCTACCAACTATTTACTAATAGTTTTAATTCTTTAGAGTAGGTGTGTAAATGGGGGCAGGCTGGTAGGGGACCCAGTGTGTTACTTTGCCCAAGGGCCTATGATATTATTAAGATGGCGCTGTACTCAATTGTTTCTTGAAAGTAGAACAAATTGGCAAGTGTAAGGATTTGAGCGACTTTGAGAAGAGTCAAATTGTAATGACGAGACAACTGGGTTAGAGCAACTCCAATACTGCAGCTCTTGTGGGATGTTCCCAGTCTGCAGTGGTCAGGACCCGACCAAGCGTGCTCCAAGGATGGAAAACCAGGGAACCGGCGGTAGGGTCATGGGTGTCCAAGGCTCAACCTATTGTAGCTCAAATTCTTGAAAAAGTTAATGCTGGTTCTGATAGAAAAGTCTCAGAACACACAGTGCAATCACAATATTCCCAACGCACATGCTCCTGACACTGGCTTTTTGGTGTTGCTGGGTGCTGCAGTGATCACAGCCTGGGAACCATAGACACTCAACGTGAAGAAATGTCACCAGCACACCAAGGATTCTTTAAACAGATCCAAAGTTTTATTTCATGGTCACATGCGGTCATGTGCAAACAAAGGCAATGTTTTGGAGCCATGCAGGGTCCCTTCGTCAGGTAAGTCACTTGCCTGAGAAAGGGGCCCTGTGTGGCTCAGAAATGTCAGAGTGCCCATGCTGACCCGTGTCTACAGCGAAAAGCACCTACCTACAATGGGCAAGTGAGCATCATACCCAGACCACAGAGCAATGGAAGAAGGTGGCCTGATCTGATGAATTCAAGAATGGAGGTACACAACAGGGAGTTCAGGATGTTGGCTTGGCCTCCATATTCCCCAGATCTCAATCCATCTGAGCATCTGTGAGATGTGCTGGAAAAACAAGTCAGATCCATGAGGGCCCTACCTCGCAACTTAAAAGTCTGAAAGGATCTGCTATTGATGGGTGATCAGAGTATACTAGGATATAGAATATATAAGAAAGCAGAGTTGCAAAATTATTGAAAAGCGTTCAAAAGAGTTCACTGATTGATTTTACTTCTTGATAGAACATCTTACTGTATATTGCAGGCCTCACTAAATGGTCCTCATCTGGACCGCCATGGTCCCCCGCCATTTAGCAGCTGGTTCTTCCTCCAGCCTCTGCAGTTCTCATTATCACAGTAGAGCGCGAGCTGGAGGGCAGAACAATGGTGGATGGAGAGCGTAGGCGGGAACTGCCCGAATTAACTTTTAAAGTTACCTAGCCAGTGATTGGTTGCAGGGCAGTTCTAGCAACCAATCATCAGCTTGTTAATATGAAAAGTTAATTCTGGCTGCATCTCCAACTCCTGCCCTCTGTCCAGAGTTGTCCTGCCTCCAGCTCTCCACTCTGCTGTACACCTATGCAAAGGTAGGAGAGTGAGGAAGCAAGGCTGCAGGAGAGCTGCAAAGTGGGGAGGCTGAGCTGCAGTGGGGGTGGGAAGTGGGGAGGCTGAGCTGCAGTCGGGTTGTGAAGTGGGGAGGCTGAGCTGCAGTGGGGGTGGGAAGTGGGGAGGCTGAGCTGCAGTGGGGGTGGGAAGTGGGGAGGCTGAGCTGCAGTCGGGTTGTGAAGTGGGGAGGCTGAGCTGCAGTGGGGGTGTGAAGTGGGGAGGCTGAGCTGCAGTGGGGGTGTGAAGTGGGGAGGCTGAGCTGCAGTGGGGGTGTGAAGTGGGGGGCTGGGCTGCAGTCGGGGTGTGAAGTGGGGGGCTGGGCTGCAGTTGGGGTGTGAAGTGGGGGGGCTTGGCTGCAGTCAGGGTGTGAAGTGGGGGTTGGGGCTGCAGTTAGGGTATAAAGTGGGGGACCAAGCTGCAGGGGGGTGTGACATAAAGTGGGGGCAGAGCTCCAGAGGGATGTGATGTGAAGTTGGGCGGGTAGAACTGCAGGGCGCTATGGTTTGAAGAGGGGGGGCAGAGCTTTGGGGGGCTGTAGTGTGAAGTGGGGGGGGGGGGCAGAGCTGCGGGGGTGGTGATGTGAAGTTACATACTGTAGTTAGTCTGTTAGTTAGGAAGGCAAAAAAAACAGCAAAGCATGACCCAATTTGCTCCAGCAGGGGAACAAATTCCTTATTGATCCCCCCCAAGAGGCAATTGGATATTCCCTGGATCAACTTTAGAGAAGTGGGGAACAGAGCTGCGGGGGGGGGGGGGGGGGGCTGTGGTGTGAAGTGGGGAACAGAGCTGCAGGGGGGTCTGTGGTGTGAAGTGGGGAACAGAGCTGCAGGAGGGGCTGTGGTGTGAAGTGGGGAACAGAGCTGTAGGGGGGGCTGGGGGCGATTTATGTAAATGGAGATAGAAGACACAGCTGTGGGGATGTGAATGGGGGCAGAAGACACCGCTGGGGGGGGGGGGGGGGGGGGGTCATGTGAAGGGGGTAGAGGACACTGCTCTGGGGGAGGGGTGATGTGAAGGTGGTAATGGACACTACTGTGGGGAGGAGGGGGGTGATGTAAAGGGGGGGCAGAAGACACCATGGTGAGAAAAGGTGATGTGAAGGAAGGGCAGAGGACACTACTGTGGGGGGAGGGGGGGGGGGGTTGATGTGAAAGAGGCAGAAGACACTTCTTTGAAGGGGGGCAGAAGACACCTTTGTGGAGGGATGATGTGAAGGGGGTGATGGAGGACAGTGCTGTGAAGGAGGATTGTGATATGTAGGGAGGCTGAGCTGCAGTCGGGGTGTGAAGTGGGGAGGCTGAGCTGCAGTCAGGGTGTGAAGTGGGGAGGCTGAGCTGCAGTCGGGGTGTGAAGTGGGGAGGCTGAGCTGCAGTCGGGGTGTGAAGTGGGGAGGCTGAGCTGCAGTCGGGGTGTGAAGTGGGGAGGCTGAGCTGCAGTCGGGGTGTGAAGTGGGGAGGCTGAGCTGCAGTCGGGGTGTGAAGTGGGGAGGCTGAGCTGCAGTGGGGGTGTGAAGTGGGGAGGCTGAGCTGCAGTGGGGGTGTGAAGTGGGAGGCTGAGCTGCAGTGGGGGTGTGAAGTGGGGAGGCTGAGCTGCAGTGGGGGTGTGAAGTGGGGAGGCTGAGCTGCAGTGGGGGTGTGAAGTGGGAAGGCTGAGCTGCAGTCAGGGTCTGAAGTGGGGAGGCTGAGCTGCAGTGTGGGTGTAAAGTGGGGAGGCTGCGCTGCAGTGGGGGTGTGAAGTGGGGGGGCTTGGCTGCAGTCAGGGTGTGAGGTGGGGGTTGGGGCTGCAGTCAGGGTGTGAAGTGGGGGTTGGGGCTGCAGTCAGGGTGTGAAGTGGGGGTTGGGGCTGCAGTTAGGGTATAAAGTGGGGGACCAAGCTGCAGGGGGGTGTGACATAAAGAGGGGGCAGAGCTCCAGAGGGATGTGATGTGAAGTTGGGCGGGTAGAACTGCAGGGCGCTATGGTTTGAAGAGGGGGGGCAGAGCTTTGGGGGGCTGTAGTGTGAAGTGGGGGGGGGGGGCAGAGCTGCGGGGGTTGTGATGTGAAGTTACATACTGTAGTTAGTCTGTTAGTTAGGAAGGCAAAAAAAAACAGCAAAGCATGACCCAATTTGCTCCTGCAGGGGAACAAATTCCTTATTGATCCCCCCCAAGAGGCAATTGGATATTCCCTGGATCAACTGTAGAGAAGTGGGGAACAGAGCTGCGGGGGGGGGGGGGGGGGGGGGGGGCTGTGGTGTGAAGTGGGGAACAGAGCTGCAGGGGGGTCTGTGGTGTGAAGTGGGGAACAGAGCTGCAGGGGGGGCTGTGGTGTGAAGTGGGGAACAGAGCTGCAGGGGGGGGCTGGGGGTGATTTATGTAAATGGAGATAGAAGACACAGCTGTGGGGATGTGAATGGGGGCAAAAGACACCGCTGGGGAGAGGGGGGTCATGTGAAGGGGGTAGAGGACACTGCTCTGGGGGAGGGGGTGATGTGAAGGGGGTAATGGACACTACTGTGAGGAGGAGGGGGGTGATGTGAAGTGGGTAATGGACACTACTGTGGGGAGGAGGGGGGTGATGTAAAGGGGGGGGGGGCATTAGACACCATGGTGAGAAGAGGTGATGTGAAGGAAGGGCAGAGGACACTACTGTGGGGGGAGGGGGGGTTGATGTGAAAGAGGCAGAAGACACTTCTTTGAAGGGGGGCAGAGGACACCTTTGTGGAGGGATGATGTGAAGGGGGTGATGGAGGACAGTGCTGTGAAGGAGGATTGTGATATGTAGGGGGGCTGAGGATATAAGAACAGAATTGTTATATAAGGCTCAGTGTACAGTATTGTGTGCCATGTGGCTCGTGTTTCCTTGGGCACGGCAGCCCATTAATTTCTACACAAAAAAGGTCTATGCACCTTTTTGAAAATGCGGCTTTTTTGACCGCGCGGTTTCCCTGCGGTTCCTGCATCTGCGATCACGCTGCGGGCTGAGATGCATGGAGATACAATTCAGAATGAATAGCAGCTCTTTGCGTCTCATAAGAGCAGTGCAATTCAGCTGCGGGTGGTTGCAGGTATGGGAACAGGTGCAATACCTCCAACCAGCCCACAAGTGTGAACCGAGCCTCAGAGGATGTGAAGGATCTGAGTCATGCAGTTCGGACCTCTGCCTGAACAAATTTTTAGTGATTGGACCTCCATGAATTCTAATGTAATACCTCTGGTATATCATATCTTCCTTTCTGGTATCTTTGCAGAGCTGGAAGACGGATACAACCTGGAGGACTTAATAGATAACTTTGTCACTTTCTTCATTGCAGGTAAGCAAATCCAGTCCAATGAGTTTTTGTCTTTCCGCTTATCTAACGTCATTTAATTGCAGAGCACATTACAGTATAGCAAGCTCCATTTCCACAATTGAATGTAGGTCTGAAATGTTAAACTAATAATGTTCGATATGCAGGTGACCCAACTTCTCATGTCCACATGCTGTATTTTAACAACTCTGGACTCCAAGTGGCTAAAGGGTTAGTTCATCTCTACCAAAAAAACTGCCTATGCAGGTAAGGGGCGGCTGCAGATATAAACAAACTGTGCAGGCCAGGTATAGTCAGGCGTTACCCCAGGTCTACACCTGAGCGTTTTCCAAAGCGTTTTGCAGAAACGCAGTACAGTCCATTTAAAATGATTTCCTATGGGACATGTTCACATCTGAGCGTTTTCGCCAGATGTGTTTTTTTGCCTTTTTTGGAAAAGGTCAGGTACTTTTTTGAACGCAAAACGTTGCGATTTTAGTTCCATAGACTTGAATGGGAACGCTGCAGAAAAGCATGTATTGCGTTTTTGCTGCATTTTTGCCACATTTTTGCCACATTTTTGATGCATTTTAAATCTGCCTAGCAACAAGAAAAATAACGAAAAAAAAAAAAAAACACAAAACGCGGTAAAAACGCACAGTAAAAAGCACTGCAGAAACGGATCAAATGCTACCTGCATAGGCTTAGAGGAAAGGGCTAGATCATGCTGGGCATCCTCCAGCCAGAAAATTGCTTGCTGCAGCTTCTAATGCACATTGTTAGAGGCTCACAGTGTGCTGGGAATTTAGATTAAGCAATTTCAATACAGGAGAGGTGCCCGTACCACTATGGAAGACTGAAAGGAAGGCAGAAGGTCAGATTTATCAGCAGTAAGCATTTTTTTTTAAAACTTTTCAGTAGTCATATTGGCTTATATTACAGGTCAAGAAACAACAGCCAATCAGTTGTCTTTTGCAGTGATGGAATTATCACGAAACCCTGAGGTCCTGGTAAAGTGAGTAAGAGTTCTTGTCAAGAAGTTTTTTTTTTTCTCCCTAGGCTCAGCACCATATAACCTATAACCTCATCCCATCATCAAAGCTGTCCACCTTGTTCAAACACTTTCCCTGTTACTACTACTACTGCAGTATTAGTTTCAGTGCTAAAGTGGACTTTTCAGTAGCCTTTAGGTCTCCATGAACACATTGGTGACATGTCATGACATACAGATCGTGCCACATTGAGATCAAGGCAGGTGACTTTGCCAAGGCTAAAATGATGTCATTAGTCTGCTGCAAGCAAGGTGAAGCATTTGCTTAGTCTCCTGCCCCTCGGTGATCAGACAGCAACATTGTAGCTGTGTAGCAAATCACAAGATGAGAAGTAGTAGCAGGAGGCAGATTTGTGTCAGACAGCACAGCCAAGAACTGCGCAGGCACCATTTATGTTATTTTGCCAAGTCTGAGCCTAGCATCTCAGAGGAAAGAGCAAAGAAGATAGCTCCGTTCTCCAGTAGAAAATAGCAAATGAAGAAATTGTCAGGAGGAGTGCTGTGATCCCTGTGAAAGGTATTACATATTTGGAAGTGTTACTCTTACACATTATTTAGCATACAGGAACATAGTGTAAAAAATATACACCCACCGACCACTTTATTAGGTCCACCTGTTCAATTGCTTGCTAACACAAATTCCTAATCAATTGATCACATGCCAGCAAATCAATGCATTTAGGCATCTAGACGTGGGGAAGACGGCTCGCTGAAGTTCAAACTGAGCATCAGAATGGGGAAGAAAGGGAATTTAAGTGACTTTGAACGTGGCATAGTTGCTGGTGTCAGATGGGCTGGTCTGAGTATTTCAAAAACTGCTAATCTACTGGGATTTTCACGCACAACCATCTCTAGGGTTTACAGAGAATGGTCCGAAAAAGAGAAAATATCCAGTGAGAGAGGCAGTTGTGTGGATGAAAATGCCCTGTTGATGTCTGAGGTTAGAAGACAATGGGCAGACTGGTTGGAGATGATAGAGAGGCATCAATAACTGAAATGACCACTCATTACAACCAAGGTATGCAGAATACCATCTCTGAACGCACAACACATTGAATATTGAAGCAGATGGGCTACAGCAGCAGAAGACCACACCGGGTGCCAATCCTGTCAGCTAAGAGAACACGAAGTGGAGGCTACAATTTGCACAGGCTCACCAAAAGTGGACAACAAAAGATTGGAAAAATGTTGCCTGGTCTTATGAGTCTCAAGTTCAGCTGCGACATTCAGATTTTAGGGTCAGAATTTGGTGTAAACAACATGAAAGCAAGGATCCATCCTGTCTTGTATCAACGGTTCAGGCTGGTGGCGAAGGTGTAATGGTTTGGGGGATATTTTCTTGGCACACTTTGGTCCCCTTGAGCTCCACAAACTACCTGAGTATTGTTGCTTACCATGTCCATCCCTTTATAACTCCATTGTCCCCACCATGTCACAAAGCTCAAATCATCTCCAACTGGTTTCTTGAAGATGACAATGAGTTCACTGCACTCCAATGGCCTCCACAGTTACCAGATCTCAATCCAATAGAGCAGCTTTGGGATGTGGTGGAACGGGAGATTCGCATCATGAATGTGCAGCCGACAAATCTGCAGCAACTGCGTGATGCTATCATGCAATATGGACCAAAATCTCAAAGGAATGTCTCCAACACCTTGTTGAATCTATGCCATGAAGAATTAGGCAGTTCTGAAGGCAAAAGGGGGTCCAACCCGGTACTAGCAAGGTGGACCAAATAAAGTGGCTGGTGACTGTATTTAATGCTGTGTGCACGTTACCCTTACATAATAGTAGAACAGTAGAGCCTGTGCCACTTACTATTAACCCTAGTAAACAACAATGGAAATTTTGCGTATATTAGAAAATATTATCTTAGGGCAGGGGTGGGCAACTGTGGCCCTCCAGCTGTTGTAGAACTACAAGTCCCAAGAGGCATTGCAAAACTGATAGTTACAAGCATGACTCCCAAAGACAGAGGCATGATGGGACTTGTAGTTCACCAACAGCTGGAGGGCCACAGTTGCCCACCCCTGTAGGGTATTTTCTGTAATAGATTGATTCCTATCATCACCTCCATCTAGTGGCTAAAATGAAGCAAGGTGTTCTGAAATACCTTAATGGGAAAATATTATTCTTTTTCACCATTAGATGGAGCTAATGATCATAGGAATTAAAGTGATACTAAAGTATATATATTTTTTGGCTTTAAAATAAAAAACAAACGTGATACTTGTCTGCTCTGGGCAATGATATTGTGCAGAGCAGTGCCTTACCTCCTCTTCTGGAGTCTCACACCATCACTGTCCACTACTCCTCCCTCCAGGTGTCCCCTCAGTAAGCCATGTGCTAAGGGGGCATCCATGCAGGTGTGCTCCCAAGCTGGGCTGTGTGCTTGGATTAGACACACACAGCACTAGTGTCTTGGAAATTCGTTTTTAAACAAATTTCTCCTTACCGTGAGTACTCGCAGTTGGATGCACAGAAATCCCCCATAAAGCTGTGCGAATCTCGCTTACCACAACTGCAGCTAAACTACACGATTCCTGCGCCTCCAAACTGGTTTAGCTCTGTTGAGATGTGGGGAAAATGGAGCTCCAGTTACTTAAAAATGATCAGGCGACACTCTCAGGTTGCTGTTGGAATTCACATAGAGGCGGATCCAACCCCAGCCTCCGATTTTTTATTTACAAGCAGACACACGCCCCCCCACATGAGTCAGGTCAATCCCCTCCCACAGAGCAATGCATGGGGAATGCCTATACACAGGATGTACATTCCGATTGGAGCATAGCCTTTCCTCTTATCTATCACCGGTCCTCCCCCATGAGCCCTCTGAGGTCAGCAGACTTCCTGTCCTAGCTCCTAGTGGTATGTAAATTCTCTGTACAAGCATCCCCTAGATTAAACATCAGTCTGCATCTGAATGGGCCCGATACGATCTTTATTAAAACACATCCATCCAGATACAGTTTCAGGTCGGTAATGGCTTGTAAGATATACATGAGCCTACACACGGAGTTCACAATGCTTGGCGCCTTGCGGTACGGAGTCCATGTGGTACTATGCTGCTGATATGTGGATACAGGCCCGCGGCCCACCGCCGGCGGCATTCGCATCGAATGCCGTGGTGGTATACGCGCCGGTCTATAAGCGCAGATCTGCCATCTCATCCATTACCGAGCTGAGTACTGTAATACATACATTGTACATGCGCATGGCCCAATTGCAGCCTTCAGAGCTTTAATGAAGCCACACGAGAGACATATGAATAACACTAATATATGACACATTTAAAGTTCAACCAAAAATACAAAATTTCCATGACACTAGTAAGCCATACCCTGCAGGCTTCCGACTCCAGCAGCAGGGACGCTTCTGGAGCGATGAGAAAAGTGAGTGACATTTGTCCAATGACTGTTTATAAATGTAGCCCACAGTCTTTCCTATTAGTGAAGATATAATAAATAGTAAATTCATGCTGTATTAACCCTTTAGGCTCCAGGTTGAAGTGGATGAAGTTATAGGTTCCAAACGGGACATTGAATATGAAGATCTTGGAAAATTGCAATATCTGTCTCAGGTATGTAGTCCAAAGTAATGGAGCAGCAAATCCAATAAGAGACAGCAATGGGGTCAGGAAACAACAGCCAGTTACTGTAGCCCCCAAAAAGCAAACTATCTTGGGGCTCGTTCACAGGAGTGGCAGCCACGATCTGTGGTGGATCACTTTTCAGAAGGTGAAAGAGCAGAGGCTGCCAGGGATTCAGGAGCCAATAATGCTACCTCCGAAATGTTTTTTTTTTCTTTTGACAGCTGAATGAATTTTGTATGTAAAAATCACACTGCAACCACAAGCAAAGCAAAAATAAAGTTCTGTATTTAAAAGTTAAACAACATTTATGCTAATACAGTGTGCTGCATGACCAGGTAATTGTTAGTCAAATTATCATAGCACTAAAAAACTGAAAAATGGCCTAGAAAGGAAACGATATACTGTAGTACTCAAGTGACCGAGGCTGGGTACTGAAGGTGTATGAGTCTTTGGCTTGTCAACTGTTCTCTATAGGCAGGACAGTACACATTCAGGTGGTTAGTACTCCTCTAGTTATGGTAAGCAGTTGAACTAATAGCCAGTGAATGCTTAGACTTAGTATTTTTGGCAGTGGTTGTAGTCACAGCTACATTTTTTTGTTCTGTTGCTCAGGTCTTAAAGGAAACTCTGCGAATGTACCCAACAGTCCCCGGCACATCAAGATTCCTAGAAGAAGACATAGTGATCGAAGGAATCAAGATTCCAGCCAAGACAAATGTGATGGTATGATATTTGTATTACCGATGAGGACATGTGTTACTTTGTACTCCCTTATGAAACAAGTTCCAGAAGTATTGCATAGTCACTGTTGTCATTTGCTGTTATATAATCTGTGTGCAGGTAAATACATACATAATGGGAAGAATGGAGCAGTATTTCCCAGATCCTTTTGTCTTCAACCCGGATCGATTTCACCCCAGTGCTCCCAAGTAAGCATCTCCTACAGTTATTGGCCGAATTGCAGAAGCATTCATACAAAATCCAAAAAGTCCCCGTATTTTTTCTAGTAGATACTTTCCTACATCCTCAGCTCCATCTAGTGGCCAAAATGCAGCTTATTTTCTCATTAAGGTGTTTCAGAAAGCTATACTGAATTTGGCCACAAGGTGGACCTGACAAGTAAGGAATCAAATTTTGTAATCTATTAGAAAAAATACAGGGAATTTTCAGCCAGCTTGCATAAATGCTTATGACATTTAACTAACAAATATTTTAGAATTAGACCCCTATGTGTTATCTCAAAGACGGTATTCAGCCCTCCTAAATTTTAACCTGGACTACAAGTTGATTAGGGCTTTTGTTTTGTAGTTAAGACAATAGGAGTGGTTGAGTAGTTTAGCAAAAGAATACTTGGCAGGGCTAACACCACTCAAATGCTGTGTATTGTCAGACCAAAGTAGGAAATGTAGCACTGATTGCAACTCTGGCAGATCAACAGGTATTTTTCTGTACCTGCAGGGTATTTTAAGGGATAAAACATGGGAAATGGCGATGTATTATAGAGAAGTACTGCATATGTTTTTTTTTACTTGAAATACACTTTAATTTCTTACTGTGACGTAAAATGGAATATGTTTTATTTTTTTTCTACATCAATAGGCCAAGTTATTCCTATTTCCCCTTTTCTCTTGGGCCACGATCTTGTATTGGCCAAGTCTTCTCTCAGGTAGGTATGATTGTTAGGGATATCACAACAATAAAGCACAAACAAGCCACCCAATAATGACACGTATAACTAGTGTCATTAACTTATCTCCGACTCACTGGTATAAGTGTGGATCCATAAACCCAAAAGGTACATACTAAGCAAAATGGTAGTGTGACAAGAACACCCCTACCTGGAAAAAGAAGGTTATTAGGTGATCCACGCGGAGTAATATGAATTCAAAAATATTCCAAACAATTCTTTATTTGATCACATAGATCATAAGGAGGTTAAACATGAGCATGGGTGTACATATGAAAAAAATAAAATCATGTTAAAAAGCACTAGGCGTCTTCAGTTTAGGGTCATCTTAACAAATAGAGTACCAAGGCAGAGTTATAAAGTGGTGATATAGTTATCCTGGGTTTCCATGGGTTTTCGGCTTGTATTCGAGTAAACCATGTATGCAGCAAATGTGTTCCCAATGTATGTCAGGTATCTCCTGATGTGAAAAAAGCTGGAATACAAAAATATATAGTATATATATGGAAATATGAAAACCGAAAAACCATATCACATCCAATATTCACCAGGCCTCCCTCTAAAATGGTCAGTGGATACTACTATTACCTTCTCAAAGGTGAGGTTGACAGGCCAGCTTCTCAAGTGTAGGGACTTCCTGGATAGCCACCCCAAATAAAATAAAGTCCACAGTACCAAATGATTCTGAGGATATATATAGAAAAATAGTGAAAAATGTAAAAATCATGGGCATCAGGTCACCCTGAAAATAAAACACACACAGAGTGGGTATATTACCATCAATGAAGATCAAGAAGACATCTGTCGACTTGAAATAGGATCAGGTCCTTGATGCTTTTCCAAGATGCATATGGGGGTGAGGAGCCAGGTAGTCACAATACATAGATTCCAAACACATATACTGTGTATATAGCATATAACAGGCTATACGAGCCTGAATTCTGATACCCAATAAAGGGTTTCCAAAAATTGCTCAAAATGAGAAGATTATTATTCCATATACTGTGTATATAGCATATAGCAGGCTTTGCAAACCTGAATTTTTATACCCAATAAAGGGTTTCCAAAAATTGCTCAAAATGAGAAGGTTATTGCGGTTTCATGAGGATATGGCTATGTCACAGCACAACCCCTAGATAGGATAGCGTATATATATATATATATATATATATATATATGTAGATCGTCCTCCAAAGAGGATTTGCAAAGATTCCCCGAATATACAGGGTAATTTAGGCCCAAATAACATGCCCTTATTGACACCATAAAAGCTCTATCAATCTCAACAGCCGTAAGCTAAATTAACTTGCCACCGGTGGAAGATAAATTTCCCTGAAAGATAGCCGTTTGCGAGCCGCTGCAACAGTAGCCTTATGGTAGTTTTCAGAGGGTCAAGGGCCTTCCTAGCAGGGAGCTGTGACACCGTCGTTCCTTCCCGCCTCGTGGGCGCCGCACCCAGTGAAGACGCCGAGCGTAGTGACGTCAATACGTTGACGCGTTTCGTCCGCCAATCACCGCAGACTTCGTCAGTTCTGACGAAGTCTGCAGTGATTGGCGGACGAAACGCGTCAACGTATTGACGTCACTACGCTCGGCGTCTTCACTGGGTGCGGCGCCCACGAGGCGGGAAGGAACGGCGGTGTCACAGCTCCCCTGCTAGGAAGGCCCTTGACCCTCTGAAAACTACCATAAGGCTACTGTTGCAGCGGCTCGCAAACGGCTATCTTTCAGGGAAATTTATCTTCCACCGGTGGCAAGTTAATTTAGCTTACGGCTGTTGAGATTGATAGAGCTTTTATGGTGTCAATAAGGGCATGTTATTTGGGCCTAAAATTACCCTGTATATTCGGGGAATCTTTGCAAATCCTCTTTGGAGGACGATCTACATATACAGTCATGGCCGAAATTGTTGGCACCCTTGATATTTTTCCTGAAAATCAAGTATTTCACACAAAAAAGGTATTGCATTAACACATGTTTTGCTATACACATGTTTATTCCCTTTGTATGTATTGGAACAAATATAAAACAGAGGCAGAAAAGCAAATATGACATAATGTCACACAAAACCCCAAAAATGGGCTGGACAAAAGTATTGGCACCCTTAACTTAATATTTGGTTGCACACCCTTTGGAAAACATAACTGAAATCAGTCGCTTCCTATAACCATCAATAAGCTTCTGACACCTCTCACCCGGAATTTTGGACCACTCTTCCTTTGCAAACAGCTCCAGGTCTCTCTTATTGGAAGGACACCTTTTCCCAACAGCAATTTTAAGATCTCTCCACAGGTGTTCAATGGGATTTAGATCTGGGCTCATTGCTGGCCACTTCAGAACTCTCCAGCGCTTCTTTGCCATCCATTTCTGAGTGCTTTTTGACGTATGTTTGGGGTCATTGTCCTGCTGGAAGACCCAGGATCTTGGACGCAAACCCAGCTTTCTGACACTGGGCCCTACAGTGCAACCCAAAATCCTTTGGTAATCCTCAGATTTCATGATGCCTTGCACACAGTCAAGGCACCCAGTGCCAGAGGCAGCAAAACAACCCCAAAACATCATTGAACCTCCACCATATTTTACCGTAGGCACTGTGTTTTGTTCTTTGTAGGCCTCATTCCGTTTTCGGTAAACAGTAGAATGATGTGCTTTACCGAAAAGCTCTATCTTGGTCTCATCTGTCCACAAGACGTTTTCCCAGAAGGCTTTTGGCTTACTCAAGTACATTTTGGCAAACTGTAGTCTTGCTTTTTTATGTCTCTGTGTCAGCAGTGGGGTCCTCCTGGGTCTCCTGCCATAGCGTTTCATTTCATTTAAATGTCGACGGATAGTTCGCGCTGACACTGATGCTCCCTGAGCCTGCAGGACAGCTTGAATGTCTTTGGAACATGTTTGGGGCTGCTTATCCACCATCCGGACTATTCTGCGTTGCAATCTTTCATCAATTTTCCTCATCCGTCCACGACCAGGGAGATTAGCTACAGTGCCATGGGTTGCAAACTTCTTGATAATGTTGCGCACTGTGGACAAAGGCAAATCTAGTTCTCTGGAGATGGACTTGTAACCTTGAGATTGTTGATATTTTGCCACAATTTTGGTTCTCAGGTCCTCAGACAGTTCTCGTCTCCTCTTTCTGTTGTCCATGCTTAGTGTGGCACAGACAGACACACAATGCAAAGGTTAAGTGAACGTCTCTCCTTTTTATCTGCTTTCAGGTGTGATTTCTATATTGCCCACACCTGTTACTTGCCCCAGGTGAGTTTACAGGAGCATCACATGCTTGTAACATTCTTATTTATCCGCAGTTGTGAAAGGGTGCCAATACTTTTGTCCAGCCCATTTTTGGAGGTTTGTGTGACATTATGTCGAATTTGCTTTCTTTCCTCCCTTTTTTTGTTTTGTCCCAATACACACAAAGGGAATAAACATGTGTATAGCAAAACATGTGTTAATGCAATACGTTTCGTGAGAAATACATGATTTCCTGGAGAAATATCAAGGGTGCCAACAATTTCGGCCATGACTGTATATATATATATATACGCTATCCTATCTAGGGGTTGTGCTGTGACATAGCCATATCCTCATGAAACCGCAATAACCTTCTCATTTTGAGCAATTTTTGGAAACCCTTTATTGGGTATAAAAATTCAGGTTTGCAAAGCCTGCTATATGCTATATACACAGTATATGGAATAATAATCTTCTCATTTTGAGCAATTTTTGGAAACCCTTTATTGGGTATCAGAATTCAGGCTCGTATAGCCTGTTATATGCTATATACACAGTATATGTGTTTGGAATCTATGTATTGTGACTACCTGGCTCCTCACCCCCATATGCATCTTGGAAAAGCATCAAGGACCTGATCCTATTTCAAGTCAACAGATGTCTTCTTGATCTTCATTGATGGTAATATACCCACTCTGTGTGTGTTTTATTTTCAGGGTGACCTGATGCCCATGATTTTTACATTTTTCACTATTTTTCTATATATATCCTCAGAATCATTTGGTACTGTGGACTTTATTTTATTTGGGGTGGCTATCCAGGAAGTCCCTACACTTGAGAAGCTGGCCTGTCAACCTCACCTTTGAGAAGGTAATAGTAGTATCCACTGACCATTTTAGAGGGAGGCCTGGTGAATATTGGATGTGATATGGTTTTTCGGTTTTCATATTTCCATATATATACTATATATTTTTGTATTCCAGCTTTTTTCACATCAGGAGATACCTGACATACATTGGGAACACATTTGCTGCATACATGGTTTACTCGAATACAAGCCAAAAACCCATGGAAACCCAGGATAACTATATCACCACTTTATAACTCTGCCTTGTGGTACTCTATTTGTTAAGATGACCCTAAACTGAAGACGCCTAGTGCTTTTTAACATGATTTAATTTTTTTCATATGTACACCATGCTCATGTTTAACCTCCTTATGATCTATGTGATCAAATAAAGAATTGTTTGGAATATTTTTGAATTCATATTACTCCGCGTGGATCACCTAATAACCTTCTTTTTCCAGGTAGGGGTGTTCTTGTCACACTACCATTTTGCTTAGTATGATTGTTAGGGACCAGCTGGAGGTAGCCTCTAGCGGCCCACAGACCAGAATTCCCCAGGGCGCGGAATCTAAGTTCCGACCTGCTTGTTCACCAGAGCCCCTGATGGTGGGGATGGACTTGGAGCAAGCCGAGACCAGGTCGTGACCCCTGGGTGCAACCAGCTGTGGAAGAGGCACCTGTCGGTGGTACGCAGCAGGTGAGAGTCTGATGTGAGGAGGTAGAGTAAGCGAGGTCAGACAGGCCGGGTCGGTAACAGCGGAGCAGGTCGGTACAAAACAGCAGGCAGAAGAATAAACGGGTCACGGTCCGGGTTTGGCAACAGGAGATCAAAAGTGCAGGAGCAGGCAGGAGAATGGTCAGGCAAGCCAGGGGTCAGAGCAGGAGAAGTCAGCAGATCAGGATCAGGCAGGGTCAGCAGCAAAGTAAACTCACAGGAACACAAGAAAGACCATACGGCACTTGAGCATTGCAAGAGCTGGGTTTAAATAGCCAGCCCAACCCCTGACAGGCGCTCCTGGGTCCTAATGCTTCCCCTGGTGCTGTCATTGGTGACAGGCGCGTCTGGGTCCTAGTGCCCGCCTGCCTGTACGTTTTGTCAGGACTCTACGCATGTGCGGATTCGATCGCCGCAGCGATCTTCCCATTCCCTGGCAATGATGGACCATTAAAGACTTAGGGTTCAGTTTTTTAAAAGGTTCATGAATAATCCCCATAATGTGTCTAATATGTTTCTTTTAATTATCAACTCCATCTAGTGGCCATAATACAGTGCTTTCTTGATTTGCAATATTTCAGGAAAAGGTCACATTGTGTCCACTAGATGGAGCTGAAAAAAGCTGAAAATACACATATGGGAATTATTTGCGATGGTAGTGCTAATGGTAAAACATTCACATAGCATATTTCTTAAAAATAAAGTCCTTAGCACTAGATATAGTTTTCATATTCAGTTCATTTATGCTAAGTAGTGTGCAGGTGTACCACCTCTAGTGGTATTTATTGCCTCTCACAGAGATCATGGTACCTTTTTGCCTTGTACAATGTCTTCATCTGCTTTCCTCTCTGCATGGGTAAAGTGACAGAGTATCTTTAATTCCCAGCTGCAGTTAAATAAATGGAAACTGCAGTAGTCTCCACTATCTGTAAAGGTGGCATTCTTTCCACTGACCACCACTGTAAGTAACATTCTTTCCATCAACCACCAATTAATTGAATTTAGCAGGGTTTTCTGAGACCTGATAATTATTTCAGGGTTTTTTTGGGGGTAAAAAGGTTGAGAAAGGCTACACAAGATACATGTTGGTAAGCTACTGAAGGTTTGCCAACCCTGAATGTATAGTTCTATGACATCTGCTATTCTCCATACATTCCTGGTATCCCTTCCAACCACTAGATCAGTCAGTCTCATCCAGAGTTCCTTGGAACGTTATGCTTTCTATCAGAGGTTGCTGGGAGTTCCTTGAGTTGTGTTTGATTGACCATCCATCTGATGGTGCTTATCTAGTTTTGGGTCCAATGCCACATAACTAAGACAGCAGCATGATGCCAATGATTATTTTTCACCATCTATAAGGGTGGTATTCTGAGCATACTATAAGGGGGCATTCTTTTTATCTACCACTAATGTGAGGGACATTCTTCCCACTGCCCTTGATTAATTTTAGCAGAGATTCAATGACACATGAACATTTTTTTCAACAGTACTTCTGGGACTAAAGAAGCTGAGAAAAACTTCACTAGATGGATGTTTGCAAGTTACTGATTGGTTGAGTGTTATGACGACTGCTATTCTCCATATATTACTGGCCTATCTGCCATTCACCAGATTAACCATTCTCAGAGTTCCTTGGAACCCTAAGGTTCCTCTAGAGGTTGCTTGGAGTTCCTTGAGCTGTGTCTGTCTGACCTCTCATCTTATAGCGTGGGTCCAATGCCACTTAACAGAGCCAACAACATGACATTAATAATTTTTTTGCCATCTGTAAGGGTGGAATTGTTTCCACACTGTAAGGGGGCATTCTTTTCATTGACCACCAAAATAAGAGGCATTCTTCCCACTTCGTCCAAATAATTAAATTTAGCTGGGGGTTCCCTGACACCAGAAAAATTGTTTCAAGGGTTTTCTGGGGTAAAAAGATTGCAAAGGCTGCACTAGATACATGTTGCTAAGCTACAGAAGGGTTGTCGACCCTGAATATATAGTTGTATGATGACTGCTATTCTCTATATATTCCTGGCATCTCTGCTATCCACTAGATCAGCAATTCTCAATTAGAATTCCTCAGTTGCTAGGAGTTCCTTGAGCTGTATCTGATTGACTTCCCATCTGATTGTGCCTTCCTAGTTTTGGGTCCAACGCCTCTTGGCCAAGTCAGCAGCACGATACCCTTGACTTTATGCTGTCTGTAAGGGTGGCATTCTGACCATAAGGTAATGGGGCATTCTTTTTATTGACCACCAATGTAAAGGGCATTCTTTCCACTGCCCCAGAATAATTACTGAGATATGAAAATTCATTCAAGAGTGCTCCTGGGACTAAAAAGTTTGAGAAAAGCTGCATTAGATACATATTCGCTAGCTACTGATGGGCAGCCATAATTGCTCATATATATGCATTTTATGCTACATTTTTCTCTTTTTCTTTGCAAGATCTAGGAATGAATTTGCTAGTGGAGTGTACAGTGAAAGCTGCGGGGAATTATTCAGCTGAAAGAAATCTTAAAATATGTACCTAATATGTTCAACAAAACATAATAGATCTTCACTTATACTGTATGTCATCCATCTTTCCCGTTCTTCCTCTGTATAGATGGAAGCCAAAGTGGTCATGGCCAAATTCCTGCAAAGATTTGAGTTTGAGTTGGTGGAAGGACAGAGTTTTAGGATCCTGGATACAGGGACCTTGCGACCTATGGATGGCGTGATCTGCAGACTGAGTCTCCGGACAAACCAGAAAGCCCCAAAGAAATAGATTGTCATCTCAAGATCACCTTTACAGTTGTATAAATGCTGGCCTTATTATTTATTAATACGAACTATACATTTGTATTTCTTCTTGAGTCAAATTTTTCAATTATTTCTATTGTATCTATTAAAATAAATGTTATGGAATCCTAACTGTGTCACTGTACTGTTTTCCTTACATATTTTCAAGCATACAAAAGAGAGATAGTAGGGTTGCTTGGAAGTTATTGAGGCCTTGCCATGCTCGGACCCTGGACTTAGTTGGCACTAGGGGTACAACCAGCATGGCATTCAAATATCTTTCCCATTTTTTACGACTTTCCTACCAAGGTGTGCAATGTACACAGTTGTGGTGTGGAGGTGCAGCATTTAACCACTTGAGCTCCAGAGGATTTACCCCCCTTAATGACCAGGCCTCTTTTTGCTACTTGGCGCTGCACTAATTCAACTGATAATTGCGCAGTCATGCAATGCTACACCCAAACGAAATTTACGTCCTTTTTTTCACACAAATAGAGCTTTCTTACGGTGTAATTTGATCACCTGTGCGCTTTTTATTTTTCACGCTATAAACAAAAAAAGGCCAAAAATTTTGAAGAAAAACAATATTTTTTACTTTCAGCTATAAAAAATATATAGTAAACTCAAAGTTGGTTATAAATTTAGACCAAAATGTATTCTGCTACATGTTTTTGGTAAAAAAAAAAATCCCAATAAGTGTATATTGATTGCTTTGTGTGACAGTTATAGCGTCTACAAACTAAGGTATAAATACTGCAATTTACGCCATTTTTCTGCTATACAGCGCTGCGATAGTTTAACGGACAATTGCACGGTCATGCAATACGGTACATAAATGAAAGTTACATCCTTTTTTCCCCACAAATTGAGCTTTCTTTCGGTGGTATCTGATTGCCTGTGCAGTTTTTATTTTTTGCGCTATAAAAAAAAAGGCTGACAATTTTGAGGGAAAAAAAAAACAATATTTTGTACTTTTTGCTATAAAACATGTCCAGTAAAAAAAAATGCAAAAATCAAATTTAGTCATAAATTTCTGCCAAAATGCATTCTGCGATATGTCTTTGCTAAAAAAAAAACCCAATACGTTTAAATTAATTGGTTTACGTGAAAGTTATAGCGTTTACAAATGGCGGGAAAGATACTGGGATTTTTAAGGTTTTTTTTTTTATACTAATAATGGCTGCGATCAGCGAATTATGGTGGCGATCAGGGACTTATGGCAGCGACCAGCGACTTATGGCGGGACTGCGGCGGACATTCTGACATTGGGGGGTACGGACTTGGGGTCACTGACATCCCCAAAAACACTAATACAGTGATCAGTGCAAAAAAAAAACTGACACTGTACTAATGGCAATGGGGAGGAAGGGGTTAACTTTATTTTGCAGGGACGGGTTATAGGAGTGAGGGGAGTGTTTTACTAGGGGGCGGGGGTGTGTACTGGGCGAGACAAGGCTGATCGAGAGAGAGAAACTGTTCTTTCTCAATCAGCTCATCCTCGAGCTGACAGGGAAGTGACAGACAGCAAAGCTACTGCAGCTGTGCTGTCTGTCACTGTTTGCCGCCGATCGCCGGGAAACAGCCGCTAAGGACCGGCTGTGACCGGTGACTCACATCTGCGGCGGTGATCGGCGGGGACAGATAGGGCGGCGGCACGTCTCGCGTGCGCCCCCTATTTGTTTACAAAACACACATTTTAAAATGTGGTTTTGCCTGCAAATACCGCCCTGCCGCCATATATCTACAGTGGCTGGGCGGCAAGTGGTTATAAAAGGTTAAAACAGGCAGTGAGGATGAATCTTTTTATCACCTTTCAGATGGCATGGCAGATCACTTTTTAGAGGAACAACAATAACACCCGCACATCTAAACATAGCCTAAAGGCCCATACACACGATAAAAACATCATACGAACATTTCCATATGATGAACGATCGGCTGATTATCTGTTGGTACAGTGCTTTCGACAGCCAAGTCCGATTTTTTCAAGTGACAAAAAATGTCTGATTTTTATGTGTACAGTAATCATACAGAAATAATCAAACAAAAAATGCATGTGATCAGAAGCATAGAACAACCCTACACTTCCTCTTCTACTATAGTAGTACATAGCTAAGTTTGCCTTTGTCGGTCAATACCATTCTGACTACATCATGATATGAATTTTTTGATCATCCAATTTTCTCATTGTGTGTACAAGGCTTTAGGCTTTTTCCACATGGACAGCCAGGGGGTGTTTAAAAACAGTTGGTAGTTTACAAGCGGACATGGTACAGCTTGGAGGAGTACACATTGCATTGGCTGCAATGCTCTGCATCGTGATGCGGCAATTTGACCACTACACGTAGAGTTTGAGAGGTGGCCCCACCTGTCAAACTCTCCCATGTAAGTGAATGGGGCTGCATATACTAATATTGTGTCTGTACTGCATATGACTGTATATGCTGATAACTGTGGAGCACAATATCAGCATATAGAGTACAGCCACAGTTTTCAGCATATACAGCCATGTACAATACAGCCACGCTCTATGGCTGTATATGCTGGCACTGTGGCTGTATTGTGTAGTGACTGCACTTTCCGTGCCCTACCACCTGTCTGTGCACCCACCACTGCAGTCCCACAGCTGCTCCCACAGCTATCTCTCAATCCCCGCATGGTTACAGCCTCCCCTCAGACCTTTCTGAGTATCACTCCACCAGGGAATGGCTATGGGCTGCCACTGCCAGATGTAATTTTCATTTCAGTATCGGGATCTGTGACACTTGCTTTATCCAGCTGATATTAAACAAAAAGTCCCCTCGCTGCTCTCACCTCCTGGGCCCCTCTGTCAAATGGATGGGGCCCAGGTAAATGTAACACCTGCTGCACCAGAAGTCCATAAATTAGCAATAAAGCTGCTCGGGCCCCTCTGTTGAGTTGATGGGGCCTAAGCCCAGTACTGGAGGGCCGGTTGTACTGCCTTATGAGCTTCCCTTATGGGGATAATGCTAAACATGCTTTTTCCAGGGGACACAGTACCTCCTGGGAGCTCATTAACACAAGAAAGCAGAATGAGTACAATGATGGTTTTACCAGTGTCCTGGTGCTCTATCACTGACCAATCAGCAGGCTATGGGCAGGTCCTTAACTATGTTTTAATGTTTAACTATCTAACCACTTCCATACTGAGCACTTTTACCCCTTCCTGCCCAGGCCAATTTTCAGGTTTCTGCGCTCTCACACTTTGAATGACAATTGCGCGGTCATACAATATTGTACCCAAACTAAAATTTTATCATTTTCACATAGCTAGAGCTTTCTTTTTGTGGTATTTAATCACAGCTGGGGTTTTTATTTTTTGCTAAATTAACAAAAAAAGACAGAAAATTTTGAAAAAAAAAAAACCACGTTTTTCTTTGTTTGTGTTATAAAAGTTTGCAAATAAATAATTGTTATTCATGAATTTAGGCCAAAATGTATTCTGCTACATGTCTTTGGTGAAAATGACCCAAATTAGTATTTATTATTTAGTTTGTAGGAAAGTTATAGAGTTCACAAACTATGGTATAGATCTGAAAATTGATGGATCCTGAAGTACTGACGGCCAATCTAATTTCTTGAGGGCCAAGAATGTCAGAACAGTACAGATATTCGCCAAATGACCCCTTTTTGCAGAGTAGACAGTCCGACGTATTTTATAAGAGGCGTGGCAAGTTTTTTGAACTTATAATTTTTTTGTCATAATTTTTCAGAAAATGAAAAAATTTAAAAAATTATTTTCACTATTGTTTTTTACATAGGCCCTGATTTACTAAGAATTGAGTTTACCAGCAGACTCTGAACATTTAGGCACACTCAATTAAATCAATTAAGACCTGTCAGTCTTCTGAGAGGCGTCTAGCAATCTCATTGAAAAGCGTCTACTTTCCTGTTAGTAACTGAGGAATCGCGTCTGGCACATTTTTAGGTGCAATACCGGATATGTTCACTAGGTGGCGAACAGGCGTGGGCTTTGTCCTGTTGGCCTTTTTCTGTTTGCATATGAGAATACTTAGAATGTAAAATAAAAAGTACACCTATATTATTTATTTATTTAATTTTTTTTTTGGTTTCTCCAAAATTATCAGACAACTAATGCATTTACTAATGAATGTCATACATTCTGTTTTCAAATGTTAAACATTTTCACATTTATATCTCAAATAAATACCTTCATATCTATACCTAGATTTATATTTATCTTGTGTAATACCATTTTAGTAGTCTATATAATTTGACCAGCGCTCGCTTTATCATTTTTAAACAATGTAACTATTCTACATTGGAGCTTAAAAACTCCGTCTCCCACAGTGGCTTAGTGGTTAGAACTCAGAACTTATAGCACTTGGGTCATGGGTTCTAATCCCAGCTATGGTTGCATCCCAGTTTGCGTGCCTTCCCTGTATGGATGTGTTTCTGCCAACACTCCAAAGACATGCTATTAGGTTAATTGGGCCTAGTACAGGGCTGAGTTTCTGCTCTTAGATTATAAGCTCCTTGACATTTATGAATGTTAAAAAAATGGAGATCAATTTTCTGGGTTGTGTCAGTGCCAGAAATATTAATCAATCAAATAAGATTTTGCCTAATGACTAGAAAGTGGAAAGGGGGTGAATCTTACCTGCGTCTTGTTCGTCTGACAAGTTGCAAATGTGCAAGTTTCATGCTGTGTATATTTCATTGTAACTTTTTTTATCTTCTTTTAAACCTGTCTCCTTATACAACTTGACCCACTCCCCCACCCCATCATCACCTGTCTTATATGCAAATCTATGGAACACCGCCCCACTCTTTTTAACTATTTATTTACTGATCAAGTGAATGTGTCTCATTTTCTATCAGCTACAACTCAGATCTCACATTATTGTACAATTGCTGATTGTATCTCACCACTAGTCTGATTGAATTCACAATTCCTGGTCAGTCCCGTTCCCTTACCTCTAATAAACATGTGACTACATGTGT